TTTTTTTTAAAAATGATATTTAAGTCCAAAGCAAAGACTTACCTTGGGGTCTACAACATTCACGTAGACATCTTGATAAGGTCTTAGTCGGAACACCTGAGTCACAGTCTGGTCCACACTGATAGTTTCTAAAATAAAACAGCTGGGTTAGATAACATTTTTGGTTTTTGTCTTTTTGAGACAGGGTCTCCTTGTAGCCCCAGCTGTCCTGGAACTCACTATGTAGACCAGGATGGCCTCGAACTCACAAAGATCTGCCTGCCTCTGCCTCCCAAGTGCTGGGACTAAAGGCATGTGCTACCATGCCTGGCCTAGATAACACATTTTTGAAAAAGCAGATAAACAGGTAAATATATTCTAATCTATAAATAAGCAGACATTTAATAATTAATACAACTGATCATTCTGTGGTCTCTGCCCTCCAAGAGATTAAAATTTAAACAGTTCTCTACTTTCAGTTAAAAAAAACCCAAGAAATAACCCTTGATTTAAAGCAATAGAGGAAAACAAAAAACAAAACAAAACCTTAAGTGTGTGGCAGCACACCCCTATGATCTCAGCATTTGGGAGGTTGAGTTAGGAGGATAGAAAAGCCAGTCTGGACTATTTAACCAGCCCCTGCCTCAAGAAAGAAGGAAAAAAAAATCTAGAGGTGTAGATCAAAGGTAGCAAATATGCTTTGCATGCATGAGTCCCCAGGTTCTGGAGGGAGCAAGGGAGAAAGGAAATACATAGAAGAGAGGAGGGTGGGGGAAGGAGGGGAGATGGAGAGAAAGAAAAAAAGCTTAAGATCTTGCACTTGGAGGACTAGAGAAGTGGCTCAGTCAGTAAAGCGCTTGCTATACAAGCACAAAGACCTGAATTCCATCTTCAGCACCCCCATAAAGGCCAGGTTCAGGGAACATTACAGAAGAAGGCAGAAAGAATGTAAGAGCTAGAGGATGAGGAAAGTGTGGAATGCTGACTTCTGGACTTGGCATCACTATTTCACTCTTGAATGCACAGCAGCTGTGAGTACATGCATAAACTCTGCACAGGATTGGGCCCCATCCCTCCCTGAGGATTTATATTCAGTTAATGGTAGACATTTTCTTCAGTGGTGAGGCCACTGGCAAGGTGTCCATGCTCCTGTACACAAACCCTCACCCACGCTGCTATAAGCAACCCTAATAGAATTTACTGGGTCAGGGTCACACACAAACAAAAAAGTGAAAGTGGAATGTGGCTAGCTCGGGACAGGAAAGAGATTAGCAGGTGAGAGACAACAGGAAAACAGGGACTCAATATGATTGAAATACATTATGTATGTGTATGAAAATATCATTATGAAATTCATTATTGGGGCCAGTAAAACAGTTCAGTGGGTAATGGCACTTGCCACCATGCCTGACAGCCTGAATTCAATCCCTCAGACCCACAAGTAGGAAAGAACCAACTCCTGAAAGTTGTCCTCTGATTTCCACGGCTGAATCTTAGGATGAACATCCATATAAGTATATTAAAAAGAGAAACCCATTATTATGTATAATTAATCATGTATAATACATGCTAAGAAAAAAATTTTTTAATTTAAAAAATAAAAAATCAGTTATCAAAGGATCAGTGATAAAGGAAGAAACAAATTCTGTTTGCTTTTGTTTTTTCAATTGTTTTGTTTGTTTCATTTTGTTTTTTGAGATAGGGTCTTGCTATATAGCCCACATTAGCCCAATACTCATTATGTAGCCCAGGTTGATCTCAAACTCATGATTCTCCTGCCTCTATTCCAGTGTACTGGGATTACAGAAACAAACTTTTCAATGAGCTCTAAATTGAGTCTGCCGAGTGAAAAACATAATGGGTGGCAAGAAGTGGGTCAAAGTTATTTAAATACACTCTTTTAAGATTTGAGTTTTAGAGCAGAAGAGATAGCTCAGTGGTTAAGAGAACTGCCTGCACTTGTAGAGGGCCTGGATTCAGTTCGGAGCACTCACATGGCAGCTAATAACCATCCTAACTCTAGTTCCAGCAGATCTAGTTCTAAAGTTTCTTCAATGCCTTTAAGATGCTGACAAGAAGCTGGGAGTGGTGGCGCACACCTTTAACCCTAGCATTCCAGAGGCAGAGGCAGGTGGATCTCTATGAGCTCAAGGTCAGCCTGGTCTACACAGTGAGTTCCAGGCCAGGTACTGGAGTAGATAGGAGACTGTCTGAAAACAAAACCAAAAACAACAAACAAAAAACCCAAACAGGCTTTGTTATAACAGTAAATGAAGACAGCAAACAAACTTATCAACTACTGTTCCCAGGGCAGCTTCCACAAAAGCAATGCTGCCCTCCAAAATCCAAATTTCTCTTCTTTTTTGCTGGCAGAAACACAGTCTGATAAGTACTTAATATTCCCTGAGATTATGTTTCTGAAACAGTAAATGTGAAAATCTCAGAAATAATAAAGGGGTAATACTTACCTTTCTGTAAATCTTCCTTAAGAGACTTGACTTGCAAAAGCAGAGGGCTGGAAAAGAAGGCAAGAAAGATGTAGGAGGTTGGAGCAGTAATTCCTCAGCCTTTTCTACCTCCCAATCAAAAGACAAACAATTTAGGGCATACTGTAAGTTGTAGCACAGTCAGAAATACTCCCTTAGAAACAAAGAAACTACACTTGGACTAAAAGGAAATGGATAAATGGAACACAGTTTTTCAGAGCTTTTACCTCAACTTTTCAAAACAAACTGAATGGTCTACTTCAGAACAATGTGTTGTTGGGAGCTGGAGAGATGGCTCCCTAGATAAGAGCACATACTGCTCTTGCAGAGAACTGAGGTTTGGTTCCCAGTACCCACATGGCAGATGACAACCATGGATAAATCCAGTTCCAGATGACACTCTCTTCTGGACTTCAAAGGCACCAGGCATGCACATGGTGCATATACATACATGTAGGCAAACGCGTATATAAAATAAACACATCCCTTGCCAGGTGGTGGCACACTCCTTTAATCTCAGCACTCAGGAGGCAGTGGCAAGGCCACCCTGGTCTACATAGTGAGGTACAGGACAGCTGGGGCTACAGAGAGACCCTGTCTCAAAAAGACCAAAAATAAATAAATAAATAAATAAATAAATAAATAAAATAAACACATCCCAGAGGACATAAGAATTTTTTTTTTTTTTGGTCTTTTTTTGAGACAGGGTCTCCCTGTAGCCTCAGCTGCCCTGGAACTCACCGGAACTTGCTGGGACTAAAGGCATGCACCACCATACCCAACAATAAGCATTTTTTAAAAAATCTTTTACATTTATTATTGGGCAGGCACATATGTGGAGGTCAGATGACAACATATAGGAGTTGGTTTTCTCATGTGGGTTCTGGGGATCAAACTCAGGTCATCAAGTTTGGTGGCAAGCTCCCTTACTACTCACTCAGCCATCTCACAGGCCTAGACATGACTTTTTTTTTTTTTTTTTTTTTGGTCTTTTTGAGACAGGGTCTCCCTGTAGCCCCAGCTGTCCTGGAACTCACTATGTAGACCAGGCTGGCCGTAAACTCACAGAGATCCACCTGCCTCTGCCTCCCGAGTGCGGGGAATAAAGGCATATGCTGCCACGACCATTTTTAAAGGCAATGAGCAACCTTGCCTTTAAGGCCTCTTAAACAAAATAGTATTTGGAATATAGGCTGCCTAGTTCCCATTAACATAGAATTGCTCACCTGTATTCATCGTTGGGGTGAGCAATCTCCACGATGTCTCCAAGTTTGATGTGGGGAAACACTTTGGGATTTACAACTAGTTCATCATCTGAAAGACAATTTAGTAATCTTAAATAGCAAACTGGGTGTACAGCTTAGCAAAAGACCATGTGTTCAACATATATAAGATGCTGGGATGATTCTCTAGCACACACCCTCCAAGAAATAAAAGTATCAAGTAGAAAAAAACACGCTAAGTGACAGGAACACGATGTACCCCATCAGGCTGGTTATTATTACCCTATAATTAACAAATGAGGTCTAATCCTATTTTTTTCTTTTTGACAGATGTCTCAGGCCACAAACTCAAACATAGGATGACTGTGAATTCCTGATCTTCCTGTCTCCCCTGATAGAGTGCTGGGTTCACAGGCATGTCCCACCATGATCAACATTTATTTTTCTTTTTTTTGTTTAATTAAAGTTCCATTTGGGGGTTTTCGTAACATTTATTTTCTGTGTATGTTGGGGGGAGTTGTAGTAGTAGTAGAGGACAGCTTGTGAGTGTTAGTTCTCTACCTCTACTATATGGATCCTGGGGATTAAACTCAGTTCAATCAGTTTGGCAGCAAGCATCTCTACCCACTGAGCCATCTTGCCAGCTCCCCTTTTTTTTTTTTTTTGCTTGTTTTCCTCTTTTGAGGTACTAGGGATGCAACCTAGGGCCTCATCCATAGGTAAGCAAGTGCTTTCTATCCTGAATTGCACCCTCTTTCCCTTAAGTCCGTTTTAAAGTCACTTTTAGAACAAGTAAAGGACTTGCATAGGACTTGCCTAACATGCTTCAGGGCCTGGGATCCATCCTCAAAAGAGAAGGAAAAATTAAAAAAAATTAAGATTAGGCCAGGCGTGGTTGCGCATGCCTTTAATCCCAGCACCTGGGAGGCAGAAGCAGGAGGATCTCTGTGAGTTCAAGGCCTGCCTAGTCTACATGGTGAGTTCCAGGACAGCTGGGGCTACAGGGAGACCCTGTCTCAAAAAGACCAAAAAAATAATAATAATAAAATAAAATAAAGATTTGAGGCTGGAGAGATGGCTCAGAGGTTAAGAGCTCTTGCAGAGGACCCAGGTTCGATTCCCAGCACTCACATGGCAGCTACAAACTGTCCTTAATTGCAGTTCCAGGGGAATCCGAAGCCCTCTTCTGACCTCCACGGCATTGCATGACACGGGTGCACTCACATACAGGCAGGCAGTACACTCATACACATAAAATAAAAATAATAGCCAAGTGTGGTCGTACACACCTTTAATCCCAGCACTCACGAGGCAGAGGCAGGCATATCGTTGTGAGTTCAAGGCCAGCCTGGTCTACATAGTGAGTTCAGGTCAGCTGGGGCTACAAGGAGACCTTGTCTCAAAAGGACAAAAAATAATAATAAATAAATAAATAAAAATAATAAATTAAGCTGGGTGTGGTGGCGCACGCCTATAGTGCCAGCACTTGGGAGGCAGAGGCAGGTGGATCTCTGTGAGTTCAAGGCCAGCCTGGTCTACATAGCGAGTTCCAGGCCAGCTGAGGCTACCAGGAGACCCTATCTCAAAAAGACAAAAAAATACCCAGAATGTATGAACTCCAGTGGGGGGGGGGGTGCTATGGGAGAGTGCCAAAGGGGAAGGGGATCTAAAGATGATTTTATGCATGAAATATACAAAAATTCAATTAAAACGTATTAAAAGAGGGCTGGAGAGATGGCTCAATGGTTAAGAACACTGGCTGTTCGAATCCCAGCACCCACATGGCAGCTAACAACTGTCCGTAACTCCAGTTCCAGGGGATCAGACAGCCTCTTCTCTCCTCCTCAGGCACTGCAGGACACGGGTGCATGTACCTACATGTAGGCAATACATGCATACACATAAAATAAAAATAATAAATGAAATATTAAAAAATATAAAAGAGCCAGTCATGGTAGTGCACACCTTTAATCCCAGTACTGGGGAAGCAGAGGCTGGGGGATCTCTGTGAGTTCAAGGCCAGCCTGGTCTACACAGTGAGTTCCAGGCCAGCTGGGGCTACAGGTAGACCCTGTCTCAAAAAGACCGGGGGGAAAAAAAAAAAGCGGCCTACGGTTTGTGGAGTTACGCCTCTGGGACATCACTTTACTCTCTTAAATACTATGATCTGGCATCAACCAGTTCCAAATGGCACAGGTCCCAAACACAACACTCATAGTTATGTAACATACAAAGAATTCCAGCAGCACTTGGGAGGCAGAGGCAGGTGGACCTCTGAGTTCAAGGCCAGTCTGGTCTACATAGCGTTCCAGGCCAGCTGGGGCTGCAGGGAGCTCCCATCTCAAAAAGACCAAAGAGGGAAAAAAAAAAAAGAATTCCCCCAAACACTGTCTAAATAGGACCATCTTAAGAGCTAACAGAACCAAGGAAATAACCTGGGAGACAAACTGACTTATCTAGTGTAGACAGCTAGTAAAAGTTCAGCCAAGCTGATCACTAGTACAGAGTTCCTTCTGCCTAAATTAGGCTGACCACCTCACATTATAAAACTCAAACCAAATAGCCTAGACTTTGGAAGACAGCATCTGATCAGGAAATAACTTCAAGCAGTAGTTCACATCAGGGATCAAAGAGACTCTTAAACCAAAGGGAATAGGGGTTAAAGGTATAGTTCAGTAGTAACTCAGAGCCCAACAAATTAGCTAAGATTTGAGATTATTATGTGTTATAAATTGCAGTGATTTCATTGAACCTACAAAGTTTTCTGCTCCTGCCAGGTAGTGATGTATGCCTTTAATCTCAGCACTCACTCTGAGTTCCAGGCCAGCCTCACCTACATAGTGAGTTCCAAGCCAGCCTCATCTACATGGTGAGTTCCAAGCCAGCTGGGGCTATAGGGAGACCCTGTCTCAAAAAGACAAAACAAACAAACAAACAAACAAACAAAAACTTTTCTGCTCGTACAGAAACAATTTAATTATTGAAAATAAAGTTTTAATTTTCTCTATCATTCTTCATCATGTATCAAATTAGTAAGACCTTTAGGTTGTATTATATTAGAATATTTGATCTTTAAATTCGCTCTTTGAACTGGGTGTGGTAGTAGTATAAATACCTATAATCTCAGCATAGGTAGTATGAAAGCAGAAGGCTGAGGAGCTCATCCTCTCCTCCACAGCAAGTAGAGATGGCTCAATGACTAAGAGGCTCTTGCAGAGGACCAAGGTTCAGTTCCCAGCACCCACATGGCAGCTAACAATCGTCCCTAACTCCAGTTCCAGGGGATTTGACTTCCTCTTCTGGCCCCCTCAGGCACTGCATGACATGGGTGCACCTACACACATTCAGGCACTACACTCATACACATAAAAATTTTAGCCGGACATGGTGGTGCACACCTTCAGTCCCAGCACTCCAGAGGCAGAGGCAGGCGAATGTCTGTGAGTTCAAGGCCAGCCTGGTCTACATAGTGAATTCCACCCTGACTCAACAAAATAATACATAAATAAAAATTTAAAACAATAAAAAAACCCAAGGGGCTGGAGAGATGGCTCAGTAGTTAAGAGCACTTACTACTCTTTCAAAAGACCCAAGTTTAGTTGCCAGCATCCACATCAGACCTCACAGTATCTATAATTCCAGCTCCCAGGGATCTGATGCCCTCTATGGGCATTCAAATGTACATGGGCACACATATGTGCACATACTACATATACACATAAATAGAAATAACTTACGAAACAACAAAAAATCACTAAATGTGTTTTAGCTTGGTATTAGGACAAAATATACCTACAGCATTTTGTGCTATATACTTATATAAAGCAGTGTTCTCAGCACTAACAATTATAAAATCAAAATATTGCTCAGGTCTGATTGGAAGGGGGCTGGGGGGTAGAAATGGTACAAAGTGTATGTATCATGCTCATATATGATGTTCACAAAACTTTTTTTTAAATATATAGGATCCAGCCAGGTGTGGTGGAGCACACCTCTAGTCCCAGCACTTGGGATGCAAAGGCAGGCAGATCTCTGTGAGTTCAAGGCCAGCCTGGTCTACATAGTGTTTGGGGACAGCTGGGGCTATAGGGAGACCCTGCTTCAAAAAAACAAATATATATAGGATCCAAGTTCAATTCTTAGAACCCACATAAAAAGCCAGGCATGGCTCTTGCTTGCAATTCCAGTGTTGCAAAAGCAAAGACAGGAGGATTCCTGGGGCTCACAATCAGCCCAGCCTAACTGTGGAGGGCCAGGTCCCATGGCAAAACACTTGAAAAAACAGGGAGACCACTCCTGGCCCACCTTTAATCCCAGCAATCAGGAGGCAGAGGCAGAGGTAGAGGCAGGCAGATCTCTATAAGTCTGTAAGTTTGAGGCAGACTGGTCTACATACCCTGTTCCAGACCAGCCAGGGCTATGGAAAAACAAAACAAAACAAGGTGGATGACTCTTGAGGAACAACATCCCAGGTTAATGTCTAAATTCCACAAGCTCACACTCAGGTATGCAAGTGCATCCACATACATGCAGGAAAAAAATGTGAAATTAAAGACAAACTAAAAAAGACTCATTGTGGGTTGAAGATGTTGCTCAGTTGGTAGAATGCTTACCAGCATATATGAAGCCGTGGGTTCTATGCCCAATACCACATAAAACCTAGTATGGGGCACATGCCTGTAATCCTAGCACTTGGGATGTAAAGGCAAAAAGATCAGAAATTCAAGGTCATCCTCCCAATACATAATTAATTTGAAGCCAACCTGGACTATAAGACCCTGTCTAAGAAGGAAGGGCTGGGATGCAGCTCAGTGCTAGAGAACTTATCTAACATATGTGAGGCCTGGGGTTAAGTTCTTGGCATTGCTCAGAAAAAATGAAGCACAAGGGCTTGAGGCAGGTAGATCACTGTGTTCAAAGCTATCCTGGTCTATATAGCAACTTCCAGGCCAGTCAGGTGTAAATGTCTGAGCATTCTCAGATGCACAGAGAGGAGGACCATGGGTTCAAGGCCACCCTGGGCTATGTGGTGAGTTTTAGAGCAGCCTGGGATACATGGTGAGACCTCATCTCAAAATATAACAAAACAAAGTCTGAATGTGACTGTCTTCAGACAAGGGCCTGTGCTCTCAGATCCAACATCCTGACTGCTGTATAAGTTGGTGGTTCATTTATTTGCCTATCTAGCCTCCACCATGGTATGTGTCATTTTCAAGGCACTGGACATATCCTAATTTTGGTCAACTCACACAACCCCCAAAGGCCAATCAATACTGACCACTGCCCCCAAACCCCTTCTTGTGGATGACAAGTTTGTAGACCTTTGCAGTTCTCATCTTGTCCGTGGTTTTCTTCAGTTGTTCCAATCTTGAGGGAGTGAAGTCATCTTGCCTTCCTGCCACTGAAACACAAACAAAACAGCTAGAATGTCAGACTTCCTAAAATTGCTCTTTAATTTTAAGCCATGAAGAGGCAGGTTGCCGGCCGCTCCGCGGAGAGGTGGCGCCAACCCTTGCATGAAATCACTCCAATTACAAAGAAAGGGAGAACAAACAGAAGCACAGAATTTAGGAAATGAAGGGGAATTTGGGCCCAGCTCTAGCCAAACATCTGAAAAGATTCTCTCTCTACTGCATCCCTAAAGACTTGCAGTGAATGGGGCACTCACTACTTTATTTCCAATCTGTATTATTACCCAAACGTTAGAGGAATCTTAAAAGAGGTTGGTTCATCCCATTTATAGAGAAAAGCAAAAGCCAAAACAAGGGACTTGCCCAAGGTCACTCAAAATGGGAAGTGCTCCCATAATTCACGTTTCTCCTGATAATGTGCTGGAGAACAGAGTACAAACGGGAGGACAAAGAGGAAAGCTGAGGTTTCTGTGCCGAGCCTCCATCTGTATCAACTCAGTGGATCGTCCTGCTTCCAGCTCGCCACCGAGGTCGCGGACGCTCCGAGAGGGAGACCAAGGTCACACAAGAGGGTCGGGAGCAGAGTCAGGCCTCGAACCCGGTTCAGAGGCCCCCCCTTCCTCGAGCCTCTCCAGCCCCAACTCAGGGGAGGCAGCTCGACTCACCCCCAGTTCCCGCGCCCCTTCCCGCCTCGGGCCAGGTCCCGAGGCCAGACCCTGGCCAGACACCCAGCACCTCCCCCGGACACCCCACTTGAGCCCCACCACTACTCGCGCAGCTTCCGCGCCCCTTCCAGGCGCCAGCAGGCCCGCCCCGGCCGCAGAACGCTCACCTGAGAACCCGCGCCGCTCCCGAGGCCCCGCCCCGAGGCCCCGCCCCCCGCCCTCCCCGCGCTCTCGGGCCGCTCTCGCCCGCCACATCCGCATCTCGGTGGCCCGGCCACTTCCTCATCCGGGACTCTGCGGGGGGGAGGGGGGCACGACTCGCGCCTGGCCGCTCGCGCCGACTCTCCACCCGCGGTTCCTGGTTGCCCGCCCGCTGCAGGCGCGCTTACCTTGGAAATAGACTCCTTGCCAGGACTTTGGTTTCGAACACAGTGCTCTCCTGGTAAGGGAGACTTGGGAGAGTCGACCTGGATCCCGCAGCTATTATTACTAGTCACTGGAGGAAGTTGGAGAAGGATTGGGAATGTTTCAGTGGAGCCTGACTAGCATGTACAAGCCTAGATTTCAATTCCCAACTCATTTTTTAAGAGTGCTGGCCTTGCATGCCCAAGGTCCAGGGCTCAGTTCCTCAGTACAGAAAACCAACAACAGAAACCAAAGTATCATAGACGCATAGGAATGTCTTAGGGGGTGAGGTGGGGCTGGAGGGATGACTTGGGAGTTAAAAAAACTTGCTCCAGGGGCTGGAGAGATGGCTCAGCAGTTAAGAACACTGGCTCTTCTTGCAGAAGACCCAGGTTTGAATCCCATCACCCACATTGGCAGCTAACAACTGTGGGTAACTCCAGTTTCAGGGGATCCGACAGCCTCTTGACATGACGCGGGTGCACTTACCTACACGCAGGCAATACACACATACACATAAAAACAATAAACAAGCCCGGTGTGGTGGCGCGCACCTTTAATCTGAGCACTCAGGAGGCAAAGGCAGGCGGATTTCTGTGAGTTCAAGGCCAGCCTGGTCTACATAGTTTCAGGACAGCTGGGACTACAGGGAGACCCTATCTCAAAAACACCAAAAAAAAAATAAAATAAAATAATAATAATAATAATAAAACTTGCTCCCTTCTGCTCCTCTTGCAGAGGGCCAGGGTTTGGTTCCCTGTATGCACACGGCTAACACCTATCCTTAACTCCAGTTCCAGGGCATCCAGTGACCTCTTCTGGCCTCATTGGGGATTAGGCACACATGTGGTGCATTTACATACATGCAGGTAAAACACTCAGACACATTAAAAAACATATTTTAGGATTTGTAAAGACATGCTTGTAGTTGCACTAGGAGCCATTCATTGCCTTGTCTTACATTTTTTTCCTTTTCCCTTGAGGCAGGGTCTTAATACATAGTCCAAGGTGGCCCTGAATTCTACGCAATTCTCCAGCCTGTCTCCTGATAACTAGGATTACAGGGGTAGCCATCATGCTTGGCTTCTCAGTAACTTTCTTGCTTCAGTAGCCCTCTGGGGCCAGGGTGCAAGCCTAGATTTCAATTCCCAACTCATTTTTTAAGATGGCTACAGGGGTAGCCATCAGGCTTGGCTTCTCAGTAACTTTCTTGCTTCAGTAGCCCTCTGGGGCCAGGGTACACTGAAACATTCCCAACCCCTCTCCACCTTCCTCCAATGACTAGTAATAATAGCTACAGTGTTTATGCTAATCTAAAATTTTAATTTAAAAGAAATAGCCATGTAGGAGGGTCTATAACTCAGTAGATAAAAGCCTTACAACCTGATTTCTATCACACACCCCTAAATAAATAAATGCTTAACCTTGACTTCAGGGACATCTTTCTCATCTTTCTATTGTATCACAATTCATTCGTAGATACTACCATATTCCACCCGTGGGAATAAAGCCCTGGACAAACTCAAAAAGCAGATCCTAACTTCATCTAGTCCAATTTAACCTGTTAAAACGCCCCGGCTCCTATGTCTTGGAATATGTTTTTCTCTTTAAGGAGATAGGGCTAAGTAAATTATGGTCTCACTCTGTAGCCAGATTGTCCTAAAACTCATGGTAATCCTCCTGCTGCAGCCCACCTCCCAAATTCTGGGATATTTGTGAGCCACCATGGCCAGTGTGAGCTGTACCCTCAACTTCATTTTTGACCTGTGCAACTTTATGGGCCTCCTGCTTCCGCACAGGTAACCACTGAGATCTTTCTAGAACTAGAACTGAGTGTTTTAGGTCACAACACTATCCTGTGTCTTCTAATCACAATGACCACTAAATCTGAATGGTACCTTTGCCTCCATTCAATTACAGAACCTTTTTTAGTTTCTTCTCTGTTTCAACACAAACTACCTGTTTCCAAATGGTTTTTGGAAAATTTGTTTTAAAGTATGATAAAATAGTGAAGAATTTGGGGAGGGTCAAAGGCTTGAAAAGCAGCTAGGCATGATGGCATATATCTATATTTCCAACACTGGGAAGCCAGAAGGATGGACAGATTGAGGCCAGTCTTGGCTACATAGTAGGACACTTTTTAAAAAAATTTTTCTTTATTATTTTTATGTGTATGTGTGTATTGCCTGCATGTAGGGAAGTACACCCATGTCATACAATGCCCATGGAGGCCAGAAGAGGCTGTAGGATCCCCTGGGACTGGAGTTAAGGACAGTTGTTAGGTGCCATGTGGGTGCTGAGATTCAAACCCGGGTCTATCTGCAAGAACAACCAGTGTTCTTAACCGCTGAGCCATCTCTCCAGCCCCCATAGTAGACTCACTTAAAAACAGGCTGAGGGTATAGCTCAGTAGAGCACTGGCTTGCCAAGCCAGAGGCCTTAGGTTAGATCCCAGCACCACAAATAAAAAGAATTTCATAATCAAGTAGAAGACAATAATTACAAATTATTCAAGGAGAAAATGTTAGATGCCACACAAGTGTTTATGCTGATACCACAGTTTCCCCCAGTTTTCTGTGTTTTATAAAGATGATTAGTAGGAAGTCCTCTATTTCAGAGGAAACTAACTTCTCTCTTCTTGATTTTTGGAAGAACCTTAGTCCTTTTCCTGAGAAATGTCCATTGTTAGTGTCTGATCTTAAAAATGCAAATGTTTCTAAAGGTTTTGTTTGTTTGCTGGGGTGCTGGAAAACTGAACCCAGAGTCTCTGTCATAGAGACTATTCTTCAGCTACAACCCTACCCCAGAAATTTTGTTTTCAAATAAGAGTTGCCAAATTCAGAAGTTAAATAGGGCTAGGGATGTAGTTTAGTAGGTAGAATACTTGCCTGGAATACATAAAGCCTGGGTTCCATCCTCAGCACTCCTTAAAACTGGTCCGGCTTGGTAGCACATGCCTGTTAATATCAGCATTCAGAGGTGGAGGCAAGAGGATCAGAGGTTCAAGACCATCCTGGACTACATGAGACTCTACCTCACAAAAATAAAAAGTGGGCCAGCCAGATGGCTCAGTGGGTAAAAGCACTTGCCTCCAAGTCTGATGACTATCCCCAGAACCCACATGGTAGAAGGAAAGAGCCAACTTCTGCAAATTGTTCTCTGGCCTCTACCTCCACCCTGGCATATATGTGTCCCCCCATAAATAAATAAATGTAATAAAGATTTTCAAAAATGTTCAGTGTTCAGGGATGTGAATGTTTAGCAGTAAGTATGCTTATGGTTTCATTCAGTCTTCAGACAATAGGGTTGGCATATGAATTTGTCTCTTTTCAGCCCCAACTAATGCTGAGGTCAAAATACATGCTCACTGGCTCAACGATACCTTAATCAGAGGAAAGATAATTAAATTTTCCCAAAGACTTGATACCACTCTCTCTCACCAAGTTGATGAGCTTTAGGAAACAATAGATTTCTATTCGGAACCCTTATCTCTGTAATTTGGGGCAAGTTGATTACATTCTATGGACATGCTAATTCCCTACTTTTCCCTCTTCTAATGTCTGCCAGAAACACTTCATTAGTTGATGCTAATATAGTGCTGAACAAAACAGACAAGGATGGTAAGGGACAGATAGCAATTAAATCAGAGATGAAATACAGGGGCTGGAGAGATGTAGAGGAACAAAATTCGGTTCCCTGCACCCACTATGCCGCTTAACTATGGACTGTAACTCTAGTTTCCCTTCCCACATTTGGTGAGCTTACATACATGCAGGCAAAACACTCATACACATAAATTAAAAATAAATAATTCTTAAAGATGAAATACAATACTGTCAATGTTAAAGTGGCAAAGAAAAAAAATACTCTAAGTGTAATGAACTACACTTCTGGGGTATCATTTGGACTCAGTGGCCAGTGTGACTAGAAGCAGGAAGAGTGGTGTGACCTAACCCATTGATTCCAGTGATTAAAAGACCCCTCAAAAGCAGGGTGGTGGCGCACGCCTTTAATCCCAGCACTCCGGAAGTTCAAGGCTAGTCTGTTCTACACAGCAAGTTTCAGGCCATTCAGGGCTACATGGTGAGATTCTGACTCAAGAAAAATAAAAGATCCCTGGAGTGGTAATCACTTAAGGGTGATCAAGAACTGACCATCCGTCCCAGGATATGCCAAACTAAACTATTAACATTTCTGCCACATTCTGGGAAGAGAATGTCTACAATTAATCTACTAAGTAAAATTAAGTGATTGCTAAAAAAAAGAAAAAAAACGCCTCCATCTGCCAAAATGGAAGCAGCCGTCTAGGTCAGAAAAACGGACTGAACTATCACTGCTACCCAGGCTGAGGATTAGGGTCAAAAGGTGTATTTCTCTTTTAGAGCCCGCGCGGAACGGCGGGGGCGGGGCCGAAGCTGCGCCCAGCTCGCGGAGGGCGGGGCTGAGGCTGCGCCGAGCTCGCGGAGGGCGGAGGTTCCAGCTCGGAAGAGCCGCCTTCTGGTCTGCGGGAGGCCTCTGCGGGGCGGGATTTGGGCCGGTCCGCATGGCTGGCTCTGGCCCCGGATGAGGAAGTGTGGTCGGGGAGGACCATAGAGACCGTGAAGCGGTAGCGGCCGGAGCGTCCTCGGGCCTCAGCTCGGGAGGATCTGGCGGCGTTGGCTGAGGCGGGGGCGGCGGTAGCTGAGGCCGTGCTGGCTGGACGAGTGCGGGCTGCAGAGCAGGCCACAGGGTAAGAGGTCGGGCTCGCCCTGCCGGGGATCCTCCACCCCATCGTGCTGGTTAGGGGGTCCAGGCCCCCCGCCTCTCACGGCGCTGGAGGGGACGGAGGAGGCAGCGTTGCGAGTAGCAGAAAGACCGACAGACAGGGAGGAGACCAGGCCCCACGTCGCTGAGAGAAAACATCTCCGCGTTAAGACTCCAGGGGAGGGGAGACTCCCCACTAACTTCCATCTGCAGTGGACCCCCAACTTCTCTCCTTGGAGAGGACGACTCCCTTGATCGACGTATGCCCTTTCCGTTGCTTCTGTTCACTTGTCAGCCGAGGGACACCCACTTAGTGTGCCAGAGGGAATACTGAATTTATGGTGAGGGGTACCCCTCCAAACGCAGCCTCCCCACTTTGGTCAGCGCCTTCTAGGTGAAGGAGGTGATTCTCAACTTCCGTAAAAATGACGGAGGTGATCTTCCTTATCTGTAAGAAGCAGACCTGTCTTCCTTCATTTTTCATCTTTACCCCATGAAACAGAGAAGGCCCTGAATTTCTGGCATGCTAAATCAGCCTTTCTCCCCCTTCTCTCAATGATGTCTACCCAGGGGAGCCTCGCTTTTCTCTTTTCATTAGGTCTCTTAGTGTTCGTTCAATGAGCTTTTTTCTCTTGCACTGTTGGGATCATGGCTTATTGGAGTGTGATACTTGCAAGCTTGTATCTCCCAGTTAACAGCTTTGTGACCTTGACTCATCACCTGTCTCTTACAGACGTTTCTACCTTGGGTACTTTTTCTCTGAATTGTCATGAAGGCTGAAGGGAAGTTTTGTGTAAATGCTTGGTGCACAGTCAAGCTGTGATCAGTTTGATTTGTTAAGAAAGAAACGCAACGCCTTGCACAGAGAAGCAGATGTTTACATGCTTGTGCCTGCCACCATTGCTATGTTGGATCCATTTCTTTGCACTGAAGAGGAAGACTTCCTGTACATTAAAATGAAGAGACACTTCCTCTCCTCTTAGATCCTGCTGTACACTCTACTCCCAAAATTAACAGAAAGCCTCACTTAAAATGGGGAAAAAATAGTTTTTGGAAACAGGTTAGTTTTTTATTGTTGTTGTTGCTTTTATCTTGTTTTGTTTTGTTCCCTGCCTTTCCTGGAACCCTGTATATAGATCCTCCTGTCTCAGTCTCCAGAATGCTAGGATTACAGGCATACTTCACCATGCCCAGCTTTTGTTTTTTATTTCGTTTTGAAACATGGTGTCATGTAGCCCAGGCTGGCCTCAGATTTGCTTAACCTGACCCTGTTAAAAGGTTTTTCTGAGCCGGGTGTGGTGGCACACGGCTTTAATCCCAGCACTTGGGAGGCAGAGGCAGGCCGATCTTTGTGAGTTCGAGGCCAGCCTGGTCTACATAGTGAGTTCCAGGACAGCTAGAGCTACAGGGATACCCTGTCTAAAAAAGACAAAAAAAAAAAGATTTTTCTTTTTCTATTCCTCAAGAAGAGGCCTCTTCCTCAAGTTCCCTCAAGGAAAAATGTGCTACAGTGTCTGAATCTCCCTCATGGAGGGATTGGCCAAGAATCTGAATCTTTGGAAAAGAAAGCCCCTTTCTCAGGGTGAAAGGAGGCCTGTGAGCTTCTGAGGGCCTGATCCTTATTGTGAGTATTGCTCCTCCACACAAGCATGGCAGTGCCCGTTGATATTAACAGCTTCTGTGCATTCCAATCAAAAGGAGAGGAGACCTTCGGTCTAGGGACTATTAGGGCACATAATTTTCTGTTCTGTTTTCTTTTAATTTTTTCCCCCCATTTTTGCTTTAATGCCATAATACTTTGCTTCCAGAACTTTCGTTTTAGGGACAGTTGAATGACTAAAAATGTTTTGTTTTGTTCGTTTATCTTTTTGAGACAAGGTCTCCCTGTACCCCTAGCCTGCCAGGATCTCACTATGTAGACCAGGCTGGCCTTGAACTCAGAAATCTGCCTGCCTCTACCTCCCAAAAGTGCTGGGATTAAAGGCGTGTGCCACCATGCCAGGCTGTTTTTTTAATTTTATAAAATATTCTAATGACACAGAGCTGCATGTTAAATTAATCGTCTACTGGTAGGTTTCTGTTTGTGTGTGTATATGTTTTTGATTTGGGGTAGAATAGGAGTTAACACTTCCAGATTACCTGGAGGTACACTAAACAAAAGCTTTCCATCTTTTTAATACAAAAAGTGTACTTAAATTACCTCAAATGCCCTTGAGTATTTACTGGTAGGATTAGTTTAAGCTCTTTGCCACTGTTGATGTCTGTCTGTAGTGTTTGCTGAAACAGAGAAAAAGGAAAGTTATTCTTTTAGTCATGGGTTTTCCCTATGGTTATTTTGTTTAGCTTGTTCATTTTACATGAGAAAAGCAAACCTAGGAAAGTTAATTTTAATGCATTCCAGGCTATGTAACTAGTCCTTGGAGTCACAATAGGGACCTTGGCTCTTGCCCTGGAGGCAGAAATTGAACTGCTCCCTACAGTGCTTTGGCTTTTGAAATGATAAAACAGCTGTTCTTAGCTCAAAAATAGTATATTTCTCCTCTTTTTTTCTTTTTTCCTTTCTTTCTCTTTCATACCTCTCTCTCTCTCTCTCTCTCTCTCTCTCTCTCTCTCTCTCTCTCTCTCTCTCTCTCTCTTTCTCTTTCCAAAATTGTTTCCTTTGGGACAGAGATTTGGTATGTAGCCAGGTCCTCAACTGTGTAGCCCCAACATTGTGCAGTCCTGTCTGTGCCTCCCCAGTGCTGGTGTTATAGACATGTGCCATGAATTTATTTTATTGGAATAATTTCACTTCATACTTTGTATAAACATTAAGTTTTGCTTTGTTTTTTCATCCTTTTTTTATACATTTTATTTTTTTTATTTTTTATTTTTTGGTCTTTTTGAGACAGGGTCTCCCTTTAGCCCCAGCTGTCCTAGAACTCCCTATGTAGACCAGGCTTGCCTCGAAGTCACAGAGATCCGCCTGCCTCTGCCTCCTTAGTGCTGGGATTAAAGGCATGCGCCACCACACCTGGCTTTTACACTTTATTTTTTTTAATGTTTATGTATTTATTTACATGCACAGAATATTCCAGTAATATACATTTCTATTTATTTATTATTTATTTATTTATATTTTTGGTCTTTTTGAGACAGGGTCTCCCTGTAGCCCAAGCTGGCCTGGATTCGCTTTGGAGACCAGACAGGCCTCGAACTCCCAGAGATCCGCTGCCTCTGACTCCCAGTGCTGGGATTAAAGGTGTGCGCCACCAAGCCCCGCTTCTTTTTGATTTTTAATAACTACATGATTAGAAGAACCATTTCACTACAGCTTTAACCTATTCAGTAACACTCCAGAGCAAGAGCACATCTCTTTCACAAGTGGGTGTAAGTTTCTAGGTTCACAGTTGAATTAATACAGTTATATAATATTGAACAAAGTATAAGCTCTGTAAGACATAAAATTTAATGAGTTTTTAACCGTCAAAAAGATCTCCATTTCATTTTAGAATATATTGTTCCTTGCAGAAAGACTCATTGTTTTTGCTACTAACACTGAGATGTTGGCACATGCATCTCTACTCTGTGTATCTCATTATTACTAGTCATAATCGGTTGCACTTGGATCCTTGGCGTTTGTGTATGTCTATAAAGTAATCGGGTACATTTCAATGGTAACGTGTATCACCTCTACTAATTAGCGTGACATAAATTTTCATGCTTCCTCCTCAAATATTTTTTAAAACTTTCTTCATTTGTGTGTGTGTGTGTGTGTGTGTATCACACAGAACATCCCAAACCATCTTATTCAACTATTCACCCACTTCGCAGATGGCACCCTCCCATAGCCTCCTTCCCCCCACTAGAGCCCTTATACTCCGATATCCCTGCTAATGTCTGCTGTGATGTTGGCAC